GTTTCAGGTGGTCTAGAACGTGTCCTGAATGAAACTTTCTTAAAACAAATGCAGGAACATACTTCTAAACGAATAGCCTCTTTTTAAAGTTCTAGCAACTACCTGTTAACTAGTCGTACACTGCGTTAACCTTTTAGTACCGATATACCGCTAATGCTGGTATACAGCTAATACCGGACATTAATAAGTCTTAATTTTTGAAATGTTATGATTGATTTAGAAACACGGATGCTCAAAAAACATACTCGCAAACTTTCAGCCTATTCGGACCGGTAGACTTGAATATCTATCTGTTGCCAACTTCAGGGACGTTAATAACAATTTTTGAACTTGCTTGCGCCTCATCAAACATCATTCATAACCCAGACCAAATTAGATTGTGGGATCATTTTCCATTATGTACCAAAACTTTGAGTTTCGGTCGTCGTGGCATAAAAATCTAGCAAACATTTTTGAGTTAAAAAAAAACGAACACTAGCTGTTGATTAGAGGAACATAATACTAAAAATTAAGAAACCCCAAAAGTAGAAACTCGCATATAAAAAACAATTGAATTTTCCGTGGTTGAAAAACGTGGATTGAAAGTTCTTATTCTGGAAATTAATGCATCCACCATTTAAATAAAATTTTCGTTTTTTTCATGGTCGCCTTCATATAGCCCAAATAATTAAAAAAGCTCTTCGAATGAATTTCAAATCGTCAGTAAATGGTGTAAAATGATAAAGTTGAGCAAAGCATACATAATTTCTTCCAGTGACAAGTACAAAAGAAGACAAAAAAGGTTTAAGATAAAGTCTTGTAATAATTGAAACTTTGAAATAGGTAACTTTTTTTTATTTTGATTGCTATGCAGCAAATTATAACAGCAAAACGTTTTCTGAGAGCTCTAAACTAACAAAAACAAATGGAGTCTGACTCAACAAAAGAGAGAGAAAAAATTTTCGAATTTCTTTTTGGAGAAAAATTAGGTTAATTCTGATAAATTTATTGATTTTGAGAAGTTTAGTGAAAAATCTAAAATTAGCTCAATGTTTACAATTAAAGTTATTGCCCCACAATTTAGTTAATTAGACATAACTTAAATTTTTCAAAAATTGGACATTTTTATGAAGTCAAAAATCAGTCTAAGAAATTAATATTTTTCCAAATGTTAAAACATCATTAGTGCTTCTTCTGATAGCGTTTACCAGATTCATTCAAAATTTGTTCCATAAAGTAACTAAAAATTTTGAAAGTTATCAGAGACAGAAGCGAAGGGGAGCTTCGTACCACTTGCCATACAACAGAAAAAATAGCTTTGCAAGCTAGCAGACAGAAAAGGAACGCAGAGCCAATAAGACCAAAAAAATTGAAGCAAACATAAAAAAACCACATCTAAGAAACTTCAAAATGTTTTTTGAAGTCACAATAAACGGCGTTTGATGAAAAATTGAAATAATTATTGACCGGCAAAAGCCGACAAAATGTGTAAAAATCTCGTAGAGCCGAAAACAAACTTTTTGTCAAGAAAAACATCAATTATAAATTCTATTCTAAGACTTCGGCGTTTTATTCAAAGCAAATAAGAGGACAAACAATTATGTTTACCTCGATAAAACCCAAGATTAGTTCACCAAGTCGATGAAATATAAGACAAAACCATTTGGGTCAAACAATGTTTTTCAGTGAAAAAAAAACAAAAAAAGAAAAACATACTTCGTCAATGCTAGAAAAAATTAATATTGCATGGATAAACCAAAATACTAAAAGTTATTACAGTAGAAACTGTTTTCAATAAAAAACAATTAAAAGATATGACAAAAAAGCGGACAAAACATAAGCAGAAAAACAAAAGAAAGCAAAAACTATTTAAAGCAGAAAAATGCCCATTCAAAGAAAATAGAGGTCCTGGTCAGATTCGAACCCAGGAATTTTGCTGTCCCAGGTGATAGTTTTACCTCTATACTAAGTTTTCCGGAGACGAACAGTTTCAATTCAAAGAGTCTTGATTCCTTTAACAAGACCAAAAATTCCTGTAAACCAACAAACCAAGTAAATGTCATCAGCAAGTTAATAACCTAAATAAAATAAATTTCGTTCTGAAAAAAATGGGCGTTTTTTATGGACATTTCTCATTTATCGTATAATTATTTGTACGCTTGCGATTAACAACGCAAGCGTAAATTTACAATAAATCAGAAAAATGTCCATAAAAGACATCCATTTTTTTCTTACAAAATTTTCAGATCGAAAAATGTTTTTCTGGTCATGATGGGCTTGTTTGGAAAAAGTGAGGACGCAGTAATCAGTCTATTTTGTGAACTCAACCAATTTTATACCATTTTAAACACACATTTTCATCGAAAAAGCTACCTAAATACTTTTGATCAGCTGGAACGCAGGCACCAGCTGGATCTCGGAACCTAGCTTTCTGAATTGTGCATCCATAGAATTTTTTCTGTTCTCTTCTATTTTATTTGACTGAGCGCATGATTTTGATTGTAAATAGATTAAAATCAATTATAATGTGAGTTTAGCAAAACAAATATGGCGATTTATTAAAAATCTAAGATGGAATATTGCAATACAGAGGTCAACCAAAGATTCGCACCACTTGCAATACAACACCAGCATAGCATCAAAATAGCAGACAGAAATAGAGACAACAAACCCTAAGTAAAAAAAACGTTTTGAAAATGTCACAAAAAACTAAATCTTTCAAAATTTTTTGATTTTTGTCTCATTTGTCTTGGATTAAGATCATTTAAAAAACATGTCAAATAAGACAACAAAATTGACAAAGCGGTAAAAGAGCCGACATTTTTTTAACAGACACTCGTTGAGCCAAATTAATTGTTTTCATAAAAAAAAACATTACAAAATTAGCAACTCCTCAAAAGATTCAAAGACACAACACAATTGTTAGCTCATTAAGTGACGCAGTTAACCGATGACGTATAAACCGTTTTTTTAGTGAGTAAACAAAAAAAAACAAGGAACACGTCAAATAAAAACTATACAGAATCGGAATTAAAAAATTGTAAGCTAAAACACAAACAAATAATGATTAGAAGGGGGTATTTGAAATGCTACGAGCCCAAACTATGTTTTTTTTGGCTGACACAAGAGCAGATTTGATAAGTTGTTTGATGAAAAATTATGTTCTGAAAGGATAACTCTGATTAATTGCAAGCTTAATAAGCGCATGCGTCACAATTAAGAGCACGCAAATCGGCGAAATGAAAATTTTTGGAAAAACTAAAAAAAAAATAGAAAAAAGCAACAACAAAAAATTCCAGACAAAAAGTCCTAAGTCATTTATCTTCACCATAGGAGATTTTAAAATGACATTCCGAAAGTTAGAAAGCTAAAACTGAAGACATAACCAACAGACATTTGAAAAGGAGTCAATGAAAACAAATAAACAAAAAAGGCTGACTTCGTTTTTCGAAGTTTGAAGAAAACAAGATGGCCTTCAAGCTCTTTGTTAAAGCTCATCAAAGATTTCGAAATTTGAAGAAAAAAATAGTCTTATAGCTCACTGTTTTCTAGAACAGTTTATGATTCATATTTTTTTTGATAAAAACAAGCCAATTTAAAAAATTTTCAATAACAATTAAATTTCTTATTTCGCTGGGAAATCTTATGACTCATTTCCATTTTCGAAATTAGAAGTCGCTCACGTTTTTCCTGACTGGCACATTTTTGCTGTTCGTTGCCTTGGATGTTTGTTATGAAGCCTGTTGAACACGTATAACTATTGTACATGCGAAACCTTGTGAACAAATTTCTTGACGGAAAAAAGTCTAATATTTGCTGCAACACCGCCCTTGCATATCTCTAGAGTAACAATTTAGAACAACAAACAACTTTTTCTTGTTTTGGCATAAAATTTGGCTTACCGTACTAAATAAGAAAAACGTTTTTTCAAAAAAAAATGCGAATCATAAAATTTCTATATATGGTGACAGTTTATTGATGGCAATTCAAAGCAATTTTGAAATTGCCCCAAATTTTTATTTTGCCTTTTTCAATCGCAAATCGAAGTTTGTGCTCAAATTTTTTTCAAAAAAGAAAAGAGAAGAAACAACGTAGTCCTGGATACACCACTATTGAAGTTTTTTTTTCTTTTCTGCTAAATAACTATTTCAAAAACGCTTAAAATACTTATTTTTTTTGGATGTTATGTTTATGCGTGCCTTGATCAATATCTGATAAATTAAAAATTCAAATTTTTAAAATAATCATTGTTGAAAATGTTTGCCAAAGTTTAAAAGTTTGAAACTTTCGTTATATTTTTTGTGTAAGACTGAACTAAGTCATTTCCGGGCACTTCAAATGCATTTTTTATGCGAGACCGTCAAACTTTTAGTAACTCTACTTTTGAGTAACCAAGGTTTTTGTCACTTCTGTTCGATTAAAACCAAAAAATTTGAGATATTTTTGGATTGTGGAAAAATACTTAGTCATACAACTTCCATATATGAAAAATCACTGATCATAGACCTTTCATGCAATTTTCTGTACTTATGCATGAAAAAGGTATGATTAGAATTTTTCCTTGTCTGAAAATTATATGATTAGCATTTTTGGTCAACACGGGCGGTTAATTAGTAATGAATAGAATGGTATAGGGTAGATTGAAATCGGGTAGATTGTCATGGGACCCAAAAATTTGGTGCTTGCAGATAAATAATGGGACAATTTAGCTTGTTTAATTTATTTACGAACAATTTTGGGAGCAAAAAATTTCACCGGGTGTAAACAAATTGGGCTTACACTTTGAGCATCAAAGATAAATTATGGAAAGCACGCATTAAATTTGATGCACCTTCGAATCTACAGAATCATACTGCTAGAAAATATTTATAATATTAATTAAATATAATACATCGCTCAAGCTCGTGCTATCTGTCTTTATCATACCTGATTTTGCGATGAGATTATTGAGTTCCTGCTTTCCTTTTGCTGTTGATTGCCTTAACTCACCTAATCTCAGCTCAAACTCTGAAGTGCAGAAACGTCATCCGAATAGTAAATTTAAAACAAAACTTAAGTAGCCAATATGTAGATTAAATTTTTGAATAAAGCTGATTATCTCATTTAGCAGATTAGACAAAGCTTTAGATTATTCTTCGTTTTAGTCAGTTTTTTTTTGTATTTTTTATACAAACAACCTCAGCGAGTATCACTCATTCGGCTTAATTTCTATTGGAGCGACAAATTTAGGCGAGTCTTTGATTGGAAACCAAAATGATCTGCTTTCTATGTCCAGTTCTTTAAGGTCCAGTTTCACGTAACCATTTGGCTTTTTCTCGTTCTGGTTGTAAAGCGAAACTAGCAATGTCGAGTTGTCCAGAATCTCCAAGGTCGTGTTGAATATCATCGGTTTGTACCACCTTGGTCGATCTGAGTTCTCGATGATCTCCGTCGTTTCGCTCTGCTCCTGTTTCGGTTTTGACGATTTCAGAAGAACTGTTACGTAACAGTTCGGAGAGGTTTTGAAAAGCGATGACAAATTTTTGGCTTCATTTACTCCGACTGTTAGTTGATTTTTGAGCTGATTGAAATTGAATCCGAGATTGATCACAGGCTCCGATTCGTCAGGTTCGCCGATCGAAATCGCCGATAGAGAAGGCTGGCGTCTCATTAGAGTCGGCGCCATAACTCCCTCGCCTCCCACATTGTTTCGATTTTTGGCATCCATAGTCTTCCGACGTTCAAGACTAGACATGTTCCGAGACTTGGTAGGCGATTCATTTTTGCCGAACTTCCTGTTCTGTCCCGTGGAACTAAGCGGTGTCTGAGGAACAGATGTCGTTCCACGTCGCTCGGAGTCGCTTCTCGGTTGATGCCTCCCAATTCCCGAGTCATCGCTAGTGTAGTCAGATTTATCGCGACTGCAACTCGGCGCTTCGAAGTCGAAACCCGAAAGGTCTTTTGAAGTCTGGCGTTCCAAGCCTCCAGCAACTAGGAAGCGTAGCGCTGCTCTAATCTTGAGAATGGATGGACTCCGTGAGTAGAATCCGTACTTGGCGTCTTTGTTGTCTAGTTCTAATTCGAACGAGTCTCGCATCTGGGAGGCCTTCATGATCTCACTCACGCTCAGACTGACAGTTGATATGATCTTCTTGGACTTCTGTTCGTCCAGGACCTAATTCACAATGGAACGTGATTTTAAAAATATCACATCTTTGAGAAATGCAAAAACACTCGTTTTCTGCCAGTAATTTAAAAAAAACCAATCGAAGATTGGAAAAGAGTAATGAACGCATGTAAACATAAAAAACACTGACTTACTTGAAAAAATCTCAACAAATTATGATTGGCGCTTTTTTTGATAACATGAACCCAACTAGAGAAAACTGGATGAATAGGTAAAGTTTTTATTCCACTAGAGATTTGAAAATTAAATTCCCTTTTCAAACTAGAAAACGTTCACAATTTTTTGCGCCATTTGCACGTTGGTTTTTGGAAAATGCTATTTACGTCACTTTCAGCAGATGAATTTCAATTGAACTCAAAAAGTGCACTATACCTAAGTGCAGTAATATTTTAAGACATTTTCCTGAAAAAAATCAGCAAGACCTATATAAGAGTCTTCATTATGTTTATTACTCTTAAAAAACACTTTTGGAATTTTATGGTTTATTTACTGAAAACGCTAAGAGTTAAGTAGTAATAATTTATTCAGAGGTAGAAAAATTCTACAAACAATTTTGTAGAACTCTCATTAAATTTAGTACAATGGAAATTCAAAGTTATCAAAACTCTTTTTTGCATATGGCAGCAATACGTGCTGCTGAACAAGTTTCGAAACACCTGTCGTTTATTTAAACTTAGGTTTATGTTTTTCGACTCTTTGTATTGTCATCTTAAACGTCCATCCTACTCTACCTCGAATTCGATCTGTTCCGTCTCTGGGTTGGAGAGGAAGAAGTCGAAACCATCTTGCCAGGTGGGGTCACGAGAGTTTACCACCACTTTTGTCATGTGTCTCTTCCCCTTTTCCACTCCATGACCAGCCCTTTAACAACAATCAATCACTCTTCAGAACCCCCCACCTACATTGTTTAAATTTATTTAAACATCTGTTATCAAAATGCGATTGCCAAAAAATTGTCATCCCCCCAGTAATTAGCCATTTTCCATTATTTTGGTCTTCATAGTTAATTTAGTAAAATCGATAGCTCGTATAAAGTTGACGCCGAAAAAAGGCTGGAAGAAAAAGAAAAAGAGCCCAATCGAAATACAATTCGACCAAATAGGGCTTTTTGGCATGAGTAACCCAACGTTGCTGGTACAGATGATGATCATAACACTAGCAAATCAAACCTAAAGTCGGTTAATTTCGCACCAACTTAGAAACTATCAAATCAATTCAAGGCAAACATTAGTATCCACTATCGATCCTTTGACGCCAAAAAAGAAGATTTAAAAACTCACCTCGTGACTCTGACCAGAGGACTCGGTCGATCCTCTCTGTCAAAATTGCCTCTTGAATCTCTACTCTTGGGTAGATTCTTGGCGCCTAACACTGTTAGTTTCAGGTAAGCTACATTCAAATTATTCGCTTCAAAGGGCATCAACCGTTGTGCTTGAAAGGCTGCTCGTAAATCGTTCGGATTGTCGCTCAGATGCAAGTAGGATCCAAGAACGTGAATTTTACCAGAGGCGGCGTCTGTGAGTGACACCCATTTTTCTAGGAACCCGTTGGCAGTGAGGGTGTACTGTTTGACGCCTATTGAGGCATTGCCCATAGCCTCATCCGCCGTTGTCTTGTCACTGTCGAATAAGTGGATACTCAGAGTTTGACCTAGAAGACGAACTAAGATCTTTCAACTTCCTATCCAGGTCACAAATGTTTATATTTGCAAATAACATTGAAGTGTTTAAAATTACTGTTTATTATTGACGGGAAAACGCAATATTTTGGTCAAAATTTTTCTATAAAGTACCTAAAAACGCTTTTTTGGTCTGTTTTTTCAAAAATTTGCCTGCAGCGCAGAAAACATGGTCAAACACAGAGGCGAAGCGAAAAAGCAGCTCTATAAAGTGCAAAAGAAAAAAGGACCAAGCCTGGAATTAGTGAAAAAAAAAATCTGCCACTTCACGGATTCGTACTTACAACCTTGAGATTAAGAATCTCACGCTTTAACCTCTAATCCGCAGAAACTAGCCACAATTCGCAGAAACTAGCAATCCGGAGAAACTAGCCACAAATAAAGCAGACAACAGATGCCATGAAACTTCTAATGCTACAGATCGTGATTATAGCAAAAGTGCCACCAAATGAGCCCTTTTATTTGCGAGTTAGGTTGGAAAAAAAGGTTCATACTAATACACTAGGCACTTTTACACTCACCCCACATTTCAAATTTTTCTTTTTTTCAATTGGCTAACGTGTTATTATGGTTGAACACGTGATTTTACGAAGTAAGGTATGAAGAACAAATGTGTTCACAATAGTTGGTTCGTTCACTATGCAAAATTTCATTTTATTATGACAAAGTTAAATTAGTTTTCAAAACTGATACTCAAATGTGGGGGGAATGGAAAATAGCTGAAATGAAGCAGGGACCTAAAAAACAAGAATGACGAGATCAAGTTAAAAATTTTTTGAAGAAAATAAAAAACCTCTACCTTGAACATAGAATACGGGTGCCTCGAAGAACTCATTCCAAGTTGGGTTCAGTGACCTCGGGATTGTTTTAGTGGTGAATTTGATGGCCCCTATCTTCAGCACAGCATAGGGGTCACTCTTCCCCGTGATGTCTTTTTCCACCAAGTCCTTCGCTTCTATCATCCCGATTCGCAAAATACCTGCCAAGTGGACAAAAATCTAAGCTTCATCAATTATCTTTAAAGATAGCTGACTTTTTTGAAAGATGAGCGAAACATTACTTTGTTTGTGACCTCAACTAATTCTAAAACACTATTTCAATCCCATTTTCCACCAGGGGCTTCAAAAGACAGCTTTACAGTAAAAGAATTACAGTAAAAGAATCAACGTAATTTGATAAATTACGTTATTGCTCCGACAATTGAAAATGGAGAGGAACTTTGTACTCGGGTGTGTTTCAGTTTTTTTGTTCAACTTTTTATTGTTTTCCACTCAAAATCAAGTACCATAAATAATCATTGGGTAGGGTCGAGTGATATATCATATTGAAGCCTTTTAAATCGTGATTCGAAAGGAAAGTCTTACAGTGTCAAGAAAACCGATATGAAATTTTAGAATTTTTAGTCTAATTCCGTGCGAATAAAGCAAGCGAGCAGGCGTATAATTGGTTTTTATAGAATAAGGATCAGCCTAATCAAGCCCTGAAATTTAAACTTGCTCTAGTTCAATTAGTTTTCGAAGTTTCTTAGCGCCATTTTGGGATTCAAAACACTAAAGAAATCTGCAAAAAACTGAGAAAAAAAAACTTTTTTTACGATTTTTTTCTTTTCAAGATATTTTTTGACTAAAAGTTTTCTCAGTCTTGCCAATTTTACAAAGAGTGTCGAATATGTTTAAGTTTTCGGCTTTTATCAAATCATTTTAACAAACCACGCGACATTCAATTGAAAAAATATGTAGTTTTCAAGAGTATGGTCGGAACGTTCTGTGCTACTTGCACAGCAAACGTCTATCCTTGTTTTAAAATGTAATATCCGTTGTGCTACCTTCAGGTATGGGGAACTTTAAGGCTACTGTGTCCACCTCGGGTTCGTTGCAGAGTGGGATGACCATCCTGTTTGGGAGGGTGAAGCGACAGTCGATCTGGTCACGCACCAGACCCCTCAACGCCTCACTCATCTAAAGAGAGGAGATACACTCAAGAAACCATCTGCCACAAAAGGTTATTTAATTTGCTAGCAATCATTTGGTTGCCGATTCTAAATTTGCACGCTCACAAACTTTTTACAAGACCAGCTCTTGAAAGTAAGTTATGCGAGGTGAGAAAACCGAACCGAAATAATGAAAAGCTGAACTGAAATTTTTGGCGAACCGAACCGAAATTCTTTTAAAAAACTTCGAGCATAAAAGTTGCATGTTGGATATCGTGAACTTTCCTGGCAGCCATACTTCTGAGAAATTCTTGAAATGTGGGATTGTTTTTGGTGATTACGATATTGATTGTAATGCAATGCAAGGGCGCATATTTATGGCAACTGGCAACGGGGCAAACTTTTCTTAAGTTGTGTTTCTACGTGAAAATTTGTAGTTTTCTGTAAGCTTTTCTAATCAATTCATTCTTTTGCTCTTAAATTTTCTTTTGAAAAAAAAAACGAAAAACCGAACCGAGATTTTTTGAGCGAACCGCTCACCACTAGTCATAATTGGTTCAACTGAAATATTAAAACCTCAAAATACTAAAAACTGTTCTGTTTACAACAATACTATTTTTCAAATCGCACTCACTCACCCCTGGAAGATCGAACAGATTGGCAGCATTGGTGAAGTTGAAATTGAGCGAGGGTGGCTCCTTGAAGAAGAAGGTCACAGCTCCTATGAAGGGGGGCTTGCTCAGCAGGGGAGTCATAACTACTCTCAGGTTCCCACTGATTCGCAAGTCCTGGATCCCCGCAGTCGGGATCCTAGTAACAACATGAGTGATTCGAAAAAGTATTCAACTGCCTATAATATGCCATTTTAAGAACAATTTTAAGCTATGTTTCATTAAATAACAACTTAGCAAAATGAAAAAAAAAGGTTCGAATCTCAACTTTAGTTCGTTTTTTTATTGACTATTATTCTCTTCAAAACCCACTCGAAGATCTGAGCTGTACCCATTTTCTCTGCTCTGTTAAGTCTGAATAACCTAGTGGAGAAATGCAAACTGCAAGGTGTTATCCACTCATTTCGTACTCAATACCATAGACTCAATCGGTCGTACGGAAAAAACACTGTAAACTTACGTGATATAATTTTTTTTCAGCTGGATTTAAAATATAAAACAAAATTCAGAAAAACCGCAACTGAACCAAAACAAGGAAACCTAGTTTCCTGGCATTGTTAGAGAATAAAACTTATTGAACAATCGAAATTTAGCATTTCTCAACAAGATATTCCGTAAGTAAAAAGTGGTGAAAAGGAATGCTACCTGGTCAGTATCATCTGGATGTTGCAGTCTCCGGGGTACACCCAGTCCACATCTGCAATGATCTCCCTCTCCCTCCCTCCATGCGCAGTGTGTCTCTCTGTCACAAATGTCTGCACATTCGCCACCCGGGGGGATTGTTTGCCCAGACTGATGGGCCCGAACTTAAAACCCCCACTCAGTATACTCGGCAACTGCTCCTTCACCTGAATAAAGCATAAATGACATCAACTTTACATATCCACAACCCTCGGCGCTTTATATGGGAAGATTATGCCGCGTGAGACTAAAGGCCCAGCTAAAGCGGAGGTACCTGATTGATAATTTTTGACTTTGTTGTACTGATGCGGGATGAATTAGATAAATTCAAAAAATTAAAAATTGGGCTTAGTTTTTCTATATTAAAATATTGGTAAAAATTTTTGTGATTTTGGAATTTTCCAAGAGACATAATTTATTCTTGTACAAATTTTGAGACGCAGCAACTTATGCACGGATGCTTTCCACAAGTTGTTGCCTCGATTGAACCCTTGATATCAGATTGAGTTGTTTTCGAGAAGAGTCAAAAAGTTTGAAAATACGGACAAGAAATCAAAATAATGAACTTTCCGAGGGTCATAAATTCTGTAAAAAAAATTCGGCGTAACCCCTTATGCCTGAGAGCTTCCAATAACCCGTTCTACCCATTGACACTGATGGTCATAACTTTTCTTGCAGCAAAATTTGGCTAAGGGGCTGAAGCAGGGGAGCTTACCAAAACCCGTATTTCTGATCGAAATCATAACTTTCAGATTTGGGAGGGTAGTTTTCGAGAAAAGTCAAAAATTTCAAATAACGGTCAAAAAATCGGAAGTTTGACTTTTCCGAGGATAACAACTTTTTCTTTAAAAAAATTTGGACGTAACTGCTTATACAGGAGAACACAACCGATTCTACACAATTTTAGATTTGGGAGGGTAGTTTTTGAGAAAACGTACAAAATCCAAACTATGGGTCAAAAATTCCCCCACACACTTTTCCGTAGGCTGTAGAAAGTGGGTTAAGGTGAAAAGAGATTAGGGTATTATGCAGCCACTCAGAGTAGTGGTCGGACTTCCCATTGGTGCCTTTTTTGAAAATCGGTTGAGTAGCTTTTGAGAAAAGCGCATCAAATAAATTTTCCAAAGCGTCTCAAATAAAATAAAATAAAAATACCCGATCCCATACGTTTTCATAATACCTGTGTTTATCAAACAGGAACTTTCAGACAATCAGAACCAAGTTTTTTTTACACAGGAATAAAAACATAACTCGAAGTGAATAAAAAGGGGCTAAGGGGCGCTTTTCCATTCTTCACTTGGTATGGCATGGCAAACGACAATTGGTCGCAGGCGACGATTCATCGCGAAGCAATTTAATCGAGGTTCTTTGCTTAGAAGCCACCATCCGCTAAGGTATGGCAGTTTGATTGCTGTGCAATGCTAAATCATTTCATTTCGAATTTTTCATTAAATTACTATAACAAAATGGTATGGGATGAATTTTCACTTCTTTAAACGCTAACAATTGTCGGGACGTTTAATTCAGTGTTCATCAGTCGAAAATTATTTAAGCTCAATTTTCATTTAATATTGAAAATCAACTAATTTTTTGGCGGAACTTAAATTTGATTTTTGCCTTTTCAAAACATTCGGTAAACTGCACGCTATTTGAACAAACATTTCACTTATACAATCTTGAAAAAGCCAGCGGGTCAATTGCAATCTTTACATGGGAATGAATTGACGAGTTAATAGTTGCACCTGTTTCCATCAACTCTAGGCACAACACTTTTTATTTTACAAGCCGTTAGAAAATCGCATTTTTACTGAATTCAGAAGGGAAGGGGAAACGGGAAAAGAATCATTTCAGCTCCACTTAAAAAATATATTTGAAGTCGAATTCCAGAAAATTCAAAAAAAATCGAAAACGTTAAAACAACTGCGAAGAAATTTAACGACTTCACTTAAATTAGAGCAAAACCCGGAAGTAGTTCTAGTTCTTAATGTTAATCAGCAATAATTCCATGCGCGCTGACCTGTGGCTCTACTTGTTGTCTGAGGAAGTCCTCCACGTATCTGTTCACGAATGGCCACAACTTCTTCAGCACTTTGTTCAGCCACTCCGCCTTCTCCTGTTCCGGGAAGTGGACCCATGAGGGAATGTCACGCAGACGACGTTGCACCTGGAGTTGAGTACAATTATTAACAAAAAGTAGATTTCGTATTCTAAAATTGAGCGGGAGATAAGAAAAAAACGAGAAAACAGTTCGTATCGGCATAGCATTGTTCGTTCCTAGCATGTTAGATTTTTAATTATAAGCCGAAAGTCGAACTTCACATTTCTCAAAAAATAAATTCACAAATCATCGTTTGAAATCACTGCAATCCAAGTTGGCTCCCAAAGTACATGATTAATTAAGCTTGTATTAGGTTCAGTTTTTACATAAACAAGGAAAGCCCGTTCCTGTGCAAGTAGCACAGAACTTTCCCACCAACCTGATTCAAGACAATAAACTCCAAAATAAAGAACGTTTTTTTTAATTGACTTAGTTTTGCAAATTTTGTTGTCTCGACTTGTTTTCTACCGATTTCTTGAAATTAAATCCTGAATTTCCTGATAGTTTTTAATATAAAGGGCAATTGAATTAGGAGAAAAATGCAAGAAAGATTGGTAACGATGGTTGAACACAGAGGCCAAGTTGCACTTCATATACACAAGCAAAAATATGACCAATAACGCTACTGGTAAAACCTGAATGAGTAAATTTTTGAGTCAACATAAATTCTTAAGTGAAGCACGCCAATTATGAGTCTAAGTTACGCAAATCAATTATGACGCATTAGCAGTACCAGTCGATTTGAAAAAAGAAATTTACCAACTAACATGCCTCAATTTATAGAGCGGACGCATTTTAACTAATAAACGAAAAATTTCACTTAAAACATCCGACCCTGCCCAGGTTCGAACCCTCTTATTTTGTTGGGGTCTCCTTCCTGACCTCTACGCTACAGATCCATGATATCTTGAAGCTAAAGTGCTGTATGAAATATAATAGTTTGCGTTAATATTCTTAGCATTGGCTGTACTTAATAGCTGGTTATTAATCAAAATGAACACTTTCAAAACTTGCGACTTAGAATAGAAAAAAAGAGACTGCATGCTATAAGACAAGCTTTGCTTGTGTAATCAGCACTGTATTGAACGAGAAAATTCCAGCCTAGTAACAAAAAAAACTTAAATCATACGAGGTTTTTTTTTGTAATATGAGGGCTAAAAGCTGCTGGGGGAGGGCTTTAAAAAATATATTTGAGCAGTGATGTTTGGATGCACGTTTTGCAACTCCTGGGTGTACCCTCAAAGTTTTCAACTACAGGATTGAGATCTTCAAAGTTTGTGATTTTTTTAAGCCAAAGTTTTTGAAAAATCATAAAACGTCATATCTTGAAAACTACAAGGATTTGAGAAAAATGCAAGAAAGATTGGTAACGATGGTTGAACACAGAGGCCAAGTTGCACTTCATATACACAAGCAAAAATATGACCAATAACGCTACTAGTAAAACCTGAATGAGTAAATTTTTGAGTCAACATAAATTCTTAAGTGAAGCACGCCAATTATGAGTCTAAGTTACGCAAATCAATTATGACGCATTAGCAGTACCAGTCGATTTGAAAAAAGAAATTTACCAACTAACATGCCTCAATTTATAGAGCGGACGCATTTTAACTAATAAACGAAAAATTTCACTTAAAACATCCGACCCTGCCCAGGTTCGAACCCTCTTATTTTGTTGGGGTCTCCTTCCTGACCTCTACGCTACAGATCCATGATATCTTGAAGCTAAAGTGCTGTATGAAATATAATAGTTTGCGTTAATATTCTTAGCATTGGCTGTACTTAATAGCTGGTTATTAATCAAAATGAACACTTTCAAAACTTGCGACTTAGAATAGAAAAAAAGAGACTGCATGCTATAAGACAAGCTTTGCTTGTGTAATCAGCACTGTATTGAACGAGAAAATTCCAGCCTAGTAACAAAAAAAACTTAAATCATACGAGGTTTTTTTTTGTAATATGAGGGCTAAAAGCTGCTGGGGGAGGGCTTTAAAAAATATATTTGAGCAGTGATGTTTGGATGCACGTTTTGCAACTCCTGGGTGTACCCTCAAAGTTTTCAACTACAGGATTGAGATCTTCAAAGTTTGTGATTTTTTTAAGCCAAAGTTTTTGAAAAATCATAAAACGTCATATCTTGAAAACTACAAGGATTTGAGAGGTGAGAATTGGAGGCAAGATTCACAAGCCCTGAGAGTACTCTGACGGCCCCAGCTAAAGGGTTGAGAATTTTAAAAATAACAAAAAATAAATTTAAGTTTTCTGAAAACTTTTTGAAAAATCACAAAAAACGTCATATCTCAAAAACTACAAGGATTTGAGCAGTCAAACTTGGAAACAAAATTCGCGATTCCTGGGAGTACCCTGACAGAGCCTCACTATAGAAATAGGAATTTCAAATTTTGTGAAATTTTTTTATATCTAAGTTCTTTGAACAATTTTAAAAAATACAAACGTAAACATCTTGGAAACTAAGAGCATATGAGCAGTCGCATTTGGAGACAAGATTTGCAAATTGGAACTGCTGAGACTACCTTCACAGTACCCAACTACAAGGTTAGGAATTTCAATTCTTTTGAATTTTTGTAAAATCTAAGTTTTCTGAAAAATTAAAAAGAAATCATAATACACGTCATATCTCGAAAACTACAAGGATTTGAGCAGTCAAACTTGGAGGCAAAATTCGGGATTCCTGGGAGTACCCTGACAGAGCCCCACTATAGAAATAGGAATTTCAAATTTTGTGAAACTTTTTTATATCTAAGTTCTTTGAACAATTTTAAAAAATACAAACGTTAACATCTTGGAAACTAAGAGCATATGAGCAGTCGCATTTGGAGGCAAGATTTGCAATTTGGAACTGCTGATAGTACCTTCACAGTACCCAACTACAAGGTTAGGAATTTCAATTCTTTTGAATTTTTGTAAAATCTAAGTTTTCTGAAAAATTAAAAAGAAATCATAATATACGTCATATCTCAAAAAATATAAGGATTTGAGCAGTCATATTTGGAGGAAAAACTCGCAATCCTTGAGAGTACTCTGACAGCACCCAACTATAAGGTTGGGAAATTCAACTTTTCGTAAATTATTTCATAATTTGAGTTTTCTGGAAATTTTTGAAAAATGACAAAAATAGTCGTATCTCGGCCACTAACAAGACTTTGGCATTCATCATTGGAAACCAATTTCGCAACCCTGAGAGAACCCTGAGAGCATCCCATTATTGGGCTGCTTGTTTTAATCTCGGTGAAATATACAAATTCAAACTAAAAAATAAAAAAAATCTTAACCTTTGCAAAAATAATACGTTGAAAAATCTTAAATATGGCGAAATAGTGAAGCCCGTATTTAAATATATAATAGATGAGTCAAAAAGCCCTGTTGTACAGCTCATAATTACTTCGGCCATTTCGTTCTGGGCTATGTATTGGCGGGACTTGATGATGACATGTTTCTTGTACTCCGCATGTTGGGTGACTGCCACCAAACTGACGAACACACACAGAAAAATGAAGCTGCCAGGTGGTGCCCAGGTGCCTGGAAAATTGATATTTTAGTTAACAAGCCAGAGACCTAACCCGTACCGTAGGTTATTTATTTAAGCTAAGGTTCACGCGCAGTTGATACTTTGTATTTAAATTGAACGAGAAAATTACAGTGAAACCAGGTTTGGCTTCAAATGACATCTAGGTCGGAAAACATAAAGAAACTTAAAAAAATCAGAAAATATCCAAAAAATTTTGATTTTATTTATTAGTAAAATTGTTGTTTTCAATGAATCTTTCAAAACTTTTCTCAACTAATCATTAGCTTTCATGTCAAGACTTTCAGAAGTTAACAAAAAGTATTGAAAATTATTTGCTTGCGTAAATTTTTCTCACTTTTGCTTGCATGTACTTACCCATGTATCCGAGCAGGAAGGCGACTAGAGACCCGATTGTGACTACCCTGTAACCTTTCAGTCTATGCCACGCGTTCTTCGTCATCTCCATCGACTGCAGTGAGTCTCTGAGGGTCACCAACTTACCAACAACTGATGCCATCGCAGAAGAAAATAACAACAATAACTAATCTTTTGTTTCTGTAACTTGCACCTAATTATTGTTTCCTCATTGTGATATTTTCCTTGAAACTTTTTGACCATTAGTCAAAACTTTCACCGCGATTCGCTAATATGAAGAACAAAAAACGGACGATTTTACGCGAAAAAATCACTATGTTTAAACAAATTAGAATAAGCAGATCTATGAATATAAATAGAAGGCTGGAGGACTAAGGAAAATTCAGGGACTATTCAGGGGAATAATAATAGCGTACCATTTCGTTCAAATAACTAACTAAACAGGCGGTTAACACTTGCAACAAACTCGATTTAGAGCAAAGGTTTCATGGGGACAGTTTTTGCCGCAAACTACTTACACGCCGAGCTGTGTTCAGTATGAATTGTGAACTATTCTGTGATAAAGATTTAGTTTGAGTTAAGAATTGTACTCGAAAGCAACGTTTCATGACAATCAAATAACACGTTTCACATTTTTTCTCATACAAAATAACAAACAAAAATAACTAAGACGAACAAAAACCGACCTGATGATGCAAATTCAGAATAAAAGAAAATATTAGCTTCAATTCAAATCTGCTTCTTTTCTCTACCATATGCTTTTTACAAAACACGCGAACCACTTGGATGGTACAATAAGCAATAACCGCATAATTTTCCAGCTATAAAACCAAAGCCATCATTAATACCAGCTTTTCCTCAGCTAACAGCATTTCCACAATTAATAGCGTTTCCACAAAAAGTGACAGCTAGTTCAAATCATCATACAATTTCAGAAAACTCGCATTAAAATTCAAGTCCCTGCACGCATTTGAAGGGTGAAGTTTGATGTTCCACCCTGTAAAATTGTCCCCTACAAATGTTCCACCCCTAAAGACTTTAACGCAGATACTAAGAAGCACATGGCCACATTTTGCATAAAAACTAATTTATCTAAATTTCGAAACAATCAAATTTTTTTTCGAATTGAAGCCTTTTTTAATTTAACTAGCAGGTCCGTCTTCAATAAGAACCGGCTCGCAAAAAGTTAGTTGTTTCGCTGTAGACTTGGGAAACTTTTCAATTTATTCCATACCGTTTACCGTAGGCAAAAATCTTACTTTTTTTCTGAGCAGGCCGTTTCATGCATTAAATCGATTCGCAAAACCTGATTTTTTCTGAGCAAACCATTCCAGCAGAGAAAAATTAAAAAATCAAGACTTAATTCTAAAGAAATTCGAAATAAACAAAATTTTCTGAGCAAGCCATTCGAGCAATGCAACTATTTGAAAACTGTTCCATACCGCTGATAGGTTTGCAAAAAAGTTCATAATGAAATTTGAAGTTATTCCATACTGTGTATTGATTGACAGAAATTAAAGTTTTTATAAGCAAGCCATTTATTCCATGAAAATTTAGGTTAATTCATACATTAAATCAATGCAGCCTGGAAATTTATAAAAAAATATTCTATACCACGATTGGGTTCGCGAAAAATTTGCCATTCAAACAATGAAACATTTTTAAAACTCAAAGTATTTAAAGCGATAAAACTTAAACAGGAGAAAAATTATTTCAAAAGGGATTCGCTTCGCAAATTTTTTTCTCTGCAAAGTCTTCATGCGATGAAATAAATTTAAATTTTTTTCTTGAAGCGAGTTGGCTCATCAAAAAATTAGTTTTTCTGAGCAGGCCAATCAAGCGCTGAAGTTTTGAAATGTTTCAAATTATTTCATAGAGGGAATTCTTTCATCGGAGAGTTATTTATTCTGAGCAGCCTAATCAAGCTAAAAGATTTGAGATAATTCAAGAATTCCTTAGTGAATCAATTCGCATTAAGACATAGATCTTTTTAGTAAGCGATTTCTGCTATCCCATGCCAACATTGATACGCAAAAATTAAGCTTTTCTAAGCAAGCGGTTTAATAGTTGAAATAATATAATTTAACTATAGAACGAATCGAATAACAGTAGTCAAAGATTTTCCAAGCAAGCTTTTCAAGCGATGAAACTTCAAAAAACTGAACATTATTTTTTGAGTGAATGGGCTACCGAAAACTTTAAAAATATATTTTTCATAGAAGCTTAAAAAGCATTTAAATATTGACATATTCAAATTGTCTCGTAGAGCGGTATGGTTCGCGAAAATTTGAAGTTGTCTAAAGCAAGCTATTGAAGCGATGAAACTAGGAAACATTTCAAGAAATTATATCATAATGCCAATAGATTTGCAAAAAAAATCAAGGTTTTGTAAGGCAAGCTATGTAAAGAAACTTTGAAATAAATCAGGTAACTTCATAGACCAAATCGGTTCGCCAAAAGCTTAGGTTTTCCTTTTGCAGCCATTCCAGTAACTAAAATTTGAAATATTTCAAATTAGTTCTCAGAGCAAACTAATTCGTGGACTTTCAAAAATTCCCTGAGCAAGCTATCGACATTTCAATAAATTTTCATAAGCAATCTATTTACGCCATGAAAGAGTTCAAACTTATGAAATGTTTCAAGCACAAATTATTTTAACCGAATCGGATCGCGAAAAGTTCAAGTTTTCTTATGCGAATTTTTCAAGCAATGAGACTCCGGCAAATTCCAGGTTGTTTCATGCTACGAATAAGTCGGCAAACAGATCAAGTTTTATATACTCGCTTTTCGAGCGATGAAACTTTGAAATATTTAAAGCTTTCTTCATTAAGCGAATCGGTTCGCAAAAAAATCAACGTTTTTTACCAATCTATTTTACGCCAAAATTTTTTTCACAAATTTGACCAGCATAGTCATGAAACGATGAAATCTAGTTATTTCAAAGAGGGAACTAGTTCACGAAGTATTTGAATGCTTCTTAGCAAGCTATTAAAGCGACTGAACAAGTTTAAAACATTTCAAATTTTTTCATAGACCGAAACGTTTCGGGATACGTTAAATTTTGTTGGCAAAATAACCAAACTACAAAAAAATGAAATATTTCAGTTATTCATCGACCGAATCGATTCGCCAAAAGTTAAAGTTTTTTTATGCAAACAATTTTCTCAGCGATGATTTTTTGGAAAATTTCAAGTTGATCGGTTGGCGATAAGTTTGATTTTTATTCGCAATCTACTCAAGCGATGAAGCGTTGAGTGATTTAAAGATGTTTAATAAACTGAATCGTTTCGCGAACATATAGTTTTTTCTCAGCAAGCTATTTAAGCGTTGAATAGTTTAAATATTTCGAGTTTAAGCATAGAGCAAAATGGTTCGCAAAAAGTTTTGATTTTTATTCAAGGTTTTCGAGCGCTGAAAATTTGAAATATTTCAAGTTATTTCACAGACCGAACAGAATGGCGAAAATCACAAAAATTTAAAGCAAGCAATTCCAGCGATGAACCTTGAAAAATTTGAAAATTATTTCATAAAAGTTTTTCATACAAGTTTTTCAAGCGATGATAAAATTTCTCAAAAAAAATTATCCCATAGAACCGATTTGGAAAAAGTTCAAGTTCATAGAGCAAGTTCGAATAACAAAAAATTTCAAATCATTTTGTAGAGCGACCTGGTTTGCAACAATTTCACGTTTTTCTAAGCAAGCTTTTCAAGCAATGAAATTGCAAATTTCAAGTTACTTCAAAAAGCGAATCAGTTCGCGACACAGTCAAAATAAGTTTTTCTTAGCAAGCTAATAAACGAATGAAACGTTGATATACTTCAAGTTGTTTCATAGAGCGATATGGTTCGCGAAAAAACATTGTCTCAGCAAGCTATTGAAGCGACGAAACTTGGAAACATTTCAAATTGACTCAGAGAGCGAATCAGTCCCCCCCCCCAAATGAATTTTTCCTAGCAAGTTATTAAAAGAACTGATATTTGAAACATTTCAAGTTTTTTTTTACATAGAATTATTTCGCTTAAAGTTAATTGCAAGTTAATCAAGCGACGAAAACTTGCAGTATTCAAGTAATTCATAGACCAAATCGATTCCCGAAAAGTTAACATTTTTAATTTCAGCGATGAAGTTTAGGCAAATTCAAGTTATTTCGTCGATGAAACGTTTGTTTAAGCAATGATTGTGGGGAAAAAATTAAATTACTTGATAGAAATAATCAGTTTGCGGCAAAAATAGGTTTTCATTTGCAAGCTATTCAAACGTTGAAAAATTTCAAATCATTTTGTAGAGCGACCTGGTTTGCAACAATTTCACGTTTTTCTATGCAAGCTATTCAAGTGAAAAAGAGTCAATTTTTCTTAGCATGGTTGTTGCTGTTTTCAGAGCATTCGTTAGACTGAAATGTTTCTGTACACGCAAAATTTTTGAGAAAAAATAGGTAAGTAATGTCTAGCCTTGCAGTTGAATCAATTTCATCTTGTTTAAAGAATTTCAGACTTTTTTATAAAAAATTCTAGAACAGTCCAGCTTAACAGAAAATTTTCTCAACTAGTAATAGCAAAATCGTCAAATAAAACAGCTCAACTCATATGAATCACCTTTAGACAAAACTTGCGCCTTTTATGCTAAAACCAATGATCTCTCTTAACCATAACGCCTTATGGCAGTTGAAACGTGGCATTAGTTTTCTGTGATTCGTTGATTATAAAAGATTGCGTCAAAAGATTTAACATATTTATTCGTTTCTATAACTTTACACAGAGACGAAGTTGCACTTCGCATACACAAGCAAAAATATGGCCAATAATGCTACTGGGAAAAACTGAATGAGTTAAACTTTGAGTCTACAAAATTTCTAAGTGACGCACACCAATTATGAGTCTAGATAATTGCTAAGTGACGCAAGCCAATTATGACGCATTAGCAGTACCAGTCAAAACGAAAAACAAAAGAAATTTACCAACTAACATGCCTCAATTTATAGAGCGCACGCATTTTAACTAGTTTACGAAAAAGTTCATAAAAAATCCGACCCTGCCCAGGTTCGAACCCTCTTATTTTGCAGGTTTCCCTACCTCTACGCTACAGATCTATGATACCTTGAAGCCAAAGTGATATTTGTAGTATAATAGTCTGGTCAATAACCAGCTATTAAGTACAGCCAATGCTAAGGATATTAGCACAGACTATTATGCTACAAATAGCACTTTGGCTTCAAGGTATCATAGATCTGTAGCGTAGAGGTAGGGAAACCTGCAAAATAAGAGGGTTCAAACCTGGGCAGGGTCGGATATGGTTATTGATCAAAATGAACACTATTATTTGCGACTTATGTCGGGAAAAAAGAGAGTTCATAATATGACACAAGCTTTGCTTGTGTAAACTGACGAAACATTAACAGATCTAGACAAACTAGATTAAAAACTATTGACTAAAATTAGAATGAGAACTTAACCAGTGATAGCAAAATCGTTAAATAAAAACAGTTCAAATCAAATTAAAACTCTCTAGACAAAACTTGCCCTTTTACGCTAAAACCAAAATCCAAGAACCAAATCAACAAAACGATTGAACTCTCAAACAGATTTCAAAAACTTTCACAATTTACTTCTCACAGCAGGTAAAACATATTCACTCAAACTTGATTACTTCCAATACAGTTCCACTTTTGGTTTGACACTATTTTAGCTAATATGACCTGATTATCAAGCTTCGTTTCAACCCCTTTCTACAGCAAAACTCAAACTTTGATTCAGTTAAAAAAACGAAAATGAATTGCTGCGGTGCGATGCTACAACCGCAAGAAATTGCTTGTCTAATTTATATTCATAA